TTGTATTTCCCTTCTCATTTCAGTCCATCACAGGGCCACATAGCATACTGTGTGTGTGTGTGTGTGTGTGTGTGTGTGTGTGTGTGTGTGTGTGTGTGTGTGTGTGTGTGTGTGTGTGTGTGTGTGTGTGTGTGAGCATGCAAGAAGGAGAGCAATACCAGGGGGGCGATTGTGTGGGTGTATGTGAGTTAGCGTGTACGCTTGACTTTTTGTTTTACACTTGGCGTGTTTTTCCCCTCTTTTTGTTTGGATGTTGTGTAAACTGGACAGTGTGTAAGGAGGTCAGTGTGTGTTTGCCTCATAACTATGATATCACCGTCAGTCACGCTTCACTGGATGTGTCTACTCACCATAATATATCTATTATAATATTATCAGCCTTATGCTCTCGCCTGCGTCTCTCAGTAAAGCAAACAAACACACACGCAGCCATGGAGGTAGTGTACAGTGATATCAAGAAAACCACATCAGATACGTGTATTTATTTTTCTTTTGTTATATATTGCACATATACAGATTTTTGACTGTTGTAAGAATTGTTTTATTTCATTTTGAATAAGTTCCACGCTTGTCTTCTTCTGCTACTACTTATTCTCACGCCGACACACAAGCACCTCTTTTTTTCGTACACACAAAGTTATGAGGAAGCAACTCGTGGAGTGACGACTAAAAAAGTAAATATCAGCATTTACTGATATTTAAAGCATTTCCTTTTTAAATTGTCCAAAATGACAGTGTGCAAAAGGAAGTAAATCAGCTTAGGGTTCAAATAATACAAATCAAAATGTATAAAACTGTATTAAAACCTATGCATTTTGTTCATATTGGGCATGGAGAGGAGAGGATGTCCAAGTCCCACACAAACTTTATGCCAAAACGGTTTCTCACACTCCTCCCTACATGGTCAAAACACTACTTTTCACTAAAACATAAACCAACTCAGTCTTTATGAGTGGAACAGTTGATCGAAAAAAGTACAAAACCTCTGACTCTAAATGAAACGGTGGAAAGTGTTTATAAGATAGTTCTTCATGCAGTCTCACCTAGAGGTCGCCTTCTCATTGTACAGTAGGAATAGATACAACCCTGAATTGTCTTCTTCTACTGAGCACGTTCCAGTGTTGAACTTGCCTGTTGTCGACAACGACCCCTATTTGTTCTACTTTTATCTGTGTACTGTATTTATTCGCTGTAACCTTTTGCAACATATTTCTGCATGGCTCATCTTCTTTATCAAAATGAGTGAAGTTCTATTTTATCTGAGAAGTACAAAGTTAAGAAACATTCAGCTATTCAGTGAAATTAAATCTCGCCATTTGTCCTGCGTTAGACTCGACTATAAATGCCAGCTCTACATTTTCAAATAAGAGGACTGTTAAAGGACATATTCTACCCTTTCCTCTCTTGATGAAATGTCAGGCCATTGACCCGCCTTTCTCTTCTATGCTAATTTGGCGTCCTCTTTGACCTTTCACCCTTGTTCCTGTGATGTTTCAGAATCTGTGGAGGTCATTCCACAACCTGAAAGATGTCGGCGTGGTGCAGGTGAAGGTCATCAGGGCTGAAGGACTGATGGCAGCAGATGTCACAGGTAAGACGATGACCGTAAGTCCAAACAACAGGACGATGAACTCTGCAGTAAATCTAGCCAAAGATACAGTCGGGGTGTGATTTTGGTTTAAGGAACGATCCTCTGCAAGAATCCTCAGAGACAGTTAAAGTCTACTTTGGGCTGGACGCTAAATTTGTCTCTGCATTTTCTTTAGAAAAGATGCAGGCTGCTCATTTGAATAATAGAGAAAAAGTACATATTTGAACCAACAAATCGCTCTCCCTCCTCCTCCCTCCACCCGCTCTCTCTGCTTGCTCTCTCTGAATTCTCCATTCTCCATTAATTCTTACTTTTAATTAGGTCTACAGTGGACAGGCCTAGTTTTTCACTCTGTATTATCTAGTAGAGAGAGAAGGAAATGTGTGTGTGTGAGTGTGAGTGAGTGAGTGAGTGAGTTTTCTTTTTTCCATTTGAAACCGCCACAGTCCCATTAGCCAATAGAGAGCGGAGCTGGTTGATTTGGGTTATTGCGTGGAGCGACCGGAGCAGCCGGAGTGCAGGGCTAATGGCTCTCCGGCTCTTGTATTTCACTCGGAGCAGAAATTTGCTCCGTGACCTCGTTGTGGAGCTCATCATTCAGTCTGAGCATCATGGATCCCTCCAACAAAAAAAAAGAGAGTAAAACTATGGAAATATAATGTCTAGTGGCTGTTTGTTTGCCTTTCACTCTGTGTCTGCCTGTTTGACGTGGTCGTAGAGAACATGTTGCCTCTACAGCCTGTGGTCATTTGAAATTATTGCTACAGGCTTACTCCACAGTTAAAGTGCAACATGTCTTGTGGTGCCAACCGGGGATAATATTCTACATAGAAACTACCGAGACTGAATCCATCAATGAGGAAACAAAAGTGAAAAAAATTAAATTTGAAACCCACAGCAACAATGTTTGCCATATGTGCCTTCACATTGTCGCATTGAATTTCATATGCTAAAAACAGAATACAAGTGAAGATGTTCTTACATGGGACTCTTTATTTATTCACACAAAACAAGGTCTTTGGTTTCACATCACAAGTTTTTGTTATAGCAAAAGAGATCTCAAATGTAGACAGTCCAGTTTGTAACCGTACTTGTGTTTATACATTCTTGCAAGCGAGGAAAAAAAAGAAAATATTTTGCTTTTGTTCCCCAGAAAACGATTTCTTTCAGCCAGTCTAGCCCTCGACTACAGTCGGCAAAGGGGTTGTTTCTAGATGGCTTATTCCTGTTTTGAGTCTGACGCTCTGTGTGTGTGTGTGTGTGTGTGTGTGTGTGTGTGTGTGTGTGTGTGT